TTTTACGCACCCCCCAACACGAATTAGTAGATCATTCAGGGTACATTCCGTGTCCCTCTATATCCGGGTTGGTTTATTCCCGACCTGAGAGGTACGAGGTTGAAGACAACCGGGAAAACCAAAAACATACAACAACAACAACAACAACAACAACAACAACAACAACAACAACAACAACAACAACAACAACTGGTAATGTCACATTTTCCTAACTAACCTGTTACAGACTACTTATACCGATATCCGGAAGATGTAAGAGTCTACATCACCCCTAGAATGGTCCATCAAATCTTGGAGAGAATTACTGTGGTAAACTCGGCAGTCTAATCACTACCTTAGAATGACATGTACAATGTTTTTTTGTTTGTTGCTTTTTTCGTAAGTGTCTTACGGCGCTGGTAACCGCATAAGGACAAACGAGCGCGCAGGACACATTAAACTTTTTCAGTTGGTAGCAAATTTGGAATTTTGCCCGGGTGGTGGCCGAAGGCTACTTTTATAGATTTTAGACCACCAATGGATTTCTAACGTGCGCAACTAGCACACGGGCCCCGTTAGATTTTTCGCCCTTGTCCGAGAACGCTAGGTGTAGATCTTTCCTACCAGAAGATCAGGGGTGCGGCTAAAAGACAGCAGTAAGAATGAGCCAAGGAGTGGCAGAAGAAAGTTAAGAAAGGCTGCTGAAAGAATCAGGAGCACAGCGTAGGTGAGCAAAGGAGGTGAGGGGGAGGGCCAGAAAGAGGAGACGAAAGCAGACAGCAGAACATTGCTAGAGTGCAGGAAAGGAGGTGAAAGGAAACCATTTTAGAGAAGAAAATTTTTCGATCGCTACCCGGATTCGAACCTGGGACCTTTGAATGAGAGGCCAACACCTTAACCTCTTGGCCACGAGAGCCCCCTACAATGCTTAATCTGACTTTTTTGGCCGTTTTTAGTTAGTAAGACCATGAAATCTAATTATTTAATAATCTATCTGCTCTATCAAAGTTGTAAGGTTTTGCGGAATTGTTTTCAAGATATTCTAAGAATTGCGTTCGAAAAATCTTGGCATATTGTGAATCTCGGCATTCTTTAACGTCAAAATTCTGAAAACTGGTTACTGAACAGATCGCGAAGTGGATTTATACTTCAATAGATCGATTCTGATCGAATCGGCTGCGGTAATTAGCAAAACTAAACACATTTTGTACCTTCAAAATCGAAACAGAGAGAATAATGTTTGTAGCCTCGATAAAGTTTCAAATGACATAATGCATCATGTATTATTCTTTCAGTATCAACAATAAGAACAGTAACAGTAACAATAAAAACAATAACAACCAACACAAAGGCGCACAAATACATAGCAAAAGCACAGAAATGAAATAGTCTAGTCGGAAGAAAGTCAGACACTATCATGCAAATCCTGGGAAATCGGACGGGTGTACACCCAATTTAAGATTTTATGCTCAATGACATTGAGGCACAGCGCGGAACAAAGGACATGCCCGTGTGCTGATTGCTGAGGTATTATGCATTGTCACACCTTTGTCCAGCCCAGCCGTCTGTTTTGTTTTGTTTTTTTCTAAGGCTTTTTTTTTGTTCGTTTTTTTTTTTTAGTGTGTGTTTTTCTTCTTCTGCTTAATATTCCGTTACAGGTTAACCCCAAAAAGCCGGCACATCAACTGACAATACATGAGGCCTCTTCCTTTTTCTTGTTTTCCTCATTTAGCATAATTATCTCTCTGTCTCTGTTACAAGCGACGTACTATATCAACATATTAGTAAATCTAATCTCCATTCAATTAATTGCTTCTCAACAGTGGGTGGTTGGCGGATGCTCTGGTGTGGTTTGCTTCTCCTTTCCTATCAAGCATCAATCGTCCTCAGTCCTCACCTCTCCTCCTTTTTTGGTTTGTTTGCTTCTCTCTTGTAATACCTCCAATCATCGGCACTTGTATAACCTAACTGTGCTGTAAGCACCGTGAACCTATTACAAAAACAAAAACTAAAAAGAGTTGCTGAACATGGCGGCTGATACAAGATTGTTGTTTGAAACCTCTCTTTTTTCATGGTGAAAATGAAAATTTATTCTTATTTTCAACTAAAATTTGGCAACAAATTTAGGAACAGAGAGTTAATGGACTTTGGAAACAACAAGTCGGATTTTTATCTTCAATTAGGAGGTCAAAACAATCCCTGAGAAAGTGGAAACATGCGCAGGCATGATACTGAATACATGTGCTGGCATAGACACGCTCACATACATGCACCGCGAACACATAGATACACACACATACACACACACACACACACACACACACACACACACACACACACACACACACACACAAACGCACATATACACACATACACATACACACATACACGTACATACACATACACACACACATATATATTTTCCCCCAAAAGAAAATTAGAATAAAAAACAAACAACACCGACAATCCCCCACCCCAAACCTAAAAGTAAAATTAAAACAACTAACAACTAAATAAAACAGAAGGAAAACCAACAGCAAGACATAGAGAAACCCAAAAAAATATTTTATATAAATAAGAACCAGCTCCCTTACAAATTACGCCACAGCAAGGCCTGTTGATAATATACGTATACCCAAGAGCCATTCGTGACTCAGGGGGAATAGGAAGGAATAACATCGATTTTTAAAACCAAACCCGGCCATTCTAATAGAAAACATGAAAAGAAACAATTAAAATAAGATGATTGTATTTTTACTGTGGAGGGCTCTTGGGTAACACGTTGCCCTAATCCGATACAACGAGTTTCATAACTGATGATCTGAAATAATATTATATAGTATAGGATTCTTTTGACATATATTTCTTGGTTGCTGAACAGATGGAAGGGATAATTATTTCTGCTCACTCAAGGAAGAATAAAGTCAAACAAATGAACACCAATAAACGTGTCTCTGAAACAAATGCTTAATCACACTGTCATAACATTAATACATTACCAATTGCACAAATATTTGTTTGTCTGTTTGTGTCATACACTAATCTAAACCAGAATAAACGAATTAGAAACGAACAGTAGCAAAATGTGGAAACAACATAAAGTCAACCCAAAAAAACTTTATAAGAGGGAAGAAACATATGTATTGACTTATTTGTTAATGTATTTTTTATATGTAAAACATTTCCCTGTGTGTTTACTCTAAGACTAACAGCTAATTTCAAAACTCAAAAGGCAGCACAGTTTGTTGTTATTACTAAACAAAAGAGCGCAGATGATAGAATTGGGCAGGGTAAAAAAAAAACAATAACAAGAAATACATGAAGTCAATTTTTACAAAAAGGTCTACTTTGCTGTAATAAAAACAGCTGTTTATGCCTTCTGAATGGCATTATAAATTGCCTCGATTAGGG